GGCTTGAAGAATTACACCAATTTCACTGATGATAAAAATATTGTAATAGGAATGAAAATTTTCAGTAACTGATCCATTGTGGCGTTATTAAAAATAAAAAAAAAAAAACAAATGATGCAGCACATTGTAAAATCCAGTAGTAAATGTGTTACACTGTGTACGTGAGTACCTACCATGGTTTAGTGAATAAATATTTTGATTCATTAAATAACAGAGTGCTTTAATATAAGATACGAAAATTAGCTTTTTAAATCATCAGACAGACTGCACAGATTTTAAAATATAATTGAACTTGCATTATATAATCTCAGTATACATTCTTTCAAATAAAATAACAATTCTGTGAAGAGGTTATATAGAATTGACGCAAGAATCTTGGTCTCTATATTGTGTGGGTAGCCATTTTGTGTGATCTCTTACAGTTTCATGCCATCTCAACAGTAATCTTCCTAAATTCATCATCCCCCAGGCCTGTGTATTATTTTATGTTCTGGTAGTTTGTTGTTTTCCATACTTCTTTAATAGTGTTTCCAATAAATTTAATAATTTTCTGCAAACATCTTTGTGAAATTTTAAAGTAAGGTGTTTTACTAAACAGTTGCTGGCCAAGAAAAGGTGAATCCACTAGTGGTGATGCTCCTTTTAGTTAGCCTCTGGAAAGGATTTGAAGTGATATTTCCCTCAACCTTGAGGGAATGGTTATATATAGCCATGGCTTCATCCTCAAACCTCATTAGTTAAAGTGGATTGTGCAATGGGTTAAGGTGGGAGGCTGAATGGGAGGGGTGAATGGACATGATTTTAAAATAATCTTAATTTCTTTTGTACTGTACCCCTTTTGTTAGCTTCTGTGTATGATTGCATTGTAAAACAGGAATTGAATTTCAGTACTGAATGTTGTGATGTTTATTTTCAATACAGTCCTACCAGTCTAATTGTCCGATTCATTAGGCCGTTTTGTCATTTCACACTCTTGTTTCAAGGTGAATGGCATAAATTAATCAGCTTGAGAAAAAATAGGTTATAAATATGACTTCTGTACAACAACAATTGTTGTGATCAGAAAGAATTCTGTATAAAGTACTTAAACATTTTGAAAATGTGAGATTTTAGTGTTGGAAGAATATTTTGTTTTCATAAATTAATGGTGCTATCTTTAATTTTGAATTTTCTATCCTTTCTTATTCCACAAGTTAGGAAAAGAAACTTCACATAGACTTGAAGTCACAACCGATGTAACACTTGATGACAAAAGCCTCATACTCTATATATGTAGCTCTTTCTTTGCAGGTAATATCACATGACTTTCTTCATGTGTTTATCCCTGCGCCCAAGTATCACGTTGTTTTTATAACAACTCTGCAACTGTTTATACTCATATGTTAACAGTAACTTGTCGTGGCAGTACGAGCGTTTAGCACAGCCCTGTACTATAATTTCTTACCATCTCTTGAGCAAACATTCAATTCTATTCTTATAGTTTCTTCTGCACAACTGTAAGCTTTGTTTTAATATGCAGAGCACCCTATTTCAGCTGATCTTTCAGTTTCAGCATCCCATTTATTTTTTGTCTGATTAAACAAGCTTTTTTGCAACAACAAAAGCATTGAAATGGAATATAGGTGAAGTTGAAAAAATGCTGGAAGTGGGAACAAAGTAGTGATTATTCAGAATTACTGGGTTTTTGGACTTGTCCATTGTCTGGTATTCTAAAACATAGAGAACACAGTGTTTCACAAACTGGATATATTTCCATCCTCAGGTGGGGGCCCATAGAAAGATCTAACCTCAATCACCAGGCACAGAGTAAGTGTCTAGTGGTTTAGTCACTGGCTTCCCACCGCAGCAGCCCGGGTTTGATCCCAGGTCTGGTCAAGTGGGATTTGTGGTGCACAAAATGGCGCTGGGGCAGGTTTTCTCCGAGCACTTCGGTTTCCCCTGCCAATCTTCATTCCACCAAATTCTCCATCATCATAAACACCCGGGGCAGGCTACAATAGGCAAATCAGTGGCTACCATGCCGAGTGGATCCAGTTGGACTCCACCCCCCACTAAGCAAATAAAAAAAAAAATGTCTAGTGGTTAGCTATTGTCCTAACAGCAAGGTTTCATTTACCAGTACAGGCCTTGCAACTTCTCACTTCACTGTCATGTTCCTAGCAGGTCTGGAACTTTACCCACCTGTCTTTGTACTGGATGCCATGATTTACTTCCTTGTTGGGTGAAAATGGCCAGTGATGATTTATCTTATCTATTGCCTAGGTTATTGGTATAGTGCTTGGGTGCAGTGATAACTTTAAATTATTAAGCCTGTCCCAAGTTAATGATGAATCTTTGTTCTGTAGAAATAGTGCAATGTATCTGTTGTACAGATACAACATGAAGCCACCAGAAATGGAGGACTAACATTTTCAGGCTCCTGTATTGGTTAGAGACTTCTAAATACATTTTCCAACAGAAAGTTTGTACATGTTTATTTCTCTTATCCTGACTAAATATGGACTGTGTTGACATGTTACATAATATGGTAAATTGCATTCTGGTAAGTTGAAATCTTCCACTTCATTACTTTAATCTTTCTGATATTGACATGACCTGTGTTATATAGGGTTATAGTCAAGTTACAGTCTTGGTTACAGGACTTATCATGTCATAAAGAAATGGACCAAAAATGCTACCTGTTTAGAAATCTTGAAAAAAAGGTAGATATATCAGTTTAATGTTGTTGAAATGTAATAATTTCTAATATTCTTTTTATGCTTAGAGAAACCTAAAAAATTAAATTCCACCAATGACCATCTGAGACTATACACTCAAAAATAAACTTACTCTCTCCCCTGACATTTAAAGAAATAACATAAGTTTGATTACGTTGCAAGCTTCATAAATAGAAAGCAATTGCATTCTGTCAGGAATGGTAGCCTAACTAACACAGTGGCATAACTGTACCATAGATTTTCCTTTCTGAAGCTCCGCAAGTTCTATTTCATTTCTCTTGTTTGAGTAAAGTTATTCTTAACATGTAAATTCTAAATTTAGATTGGTATGTGATTATATGTAACACTTGGGCAGTCAGGCAGTCATCATTAGGGTTAAATGACAATATGAAAAAGCTGTTTCTGTAGAAAAATGTGCACAATCTTATTGAAATAAGTAACTATAGCTAATAATTAATTTGTTGATATATTTCTGAAAATTGAATTTTAATTTTTTTATTGTGTTCTTATTTCTTTTATTGTATGTTTTAAATTTTATATTACATTTACATTAATTTTGCAGTCTTCATCAGTTATTACATTGTGATGATTGCTTGCTTGAGTCTGGACGTAGGATACTTCTGTGTAACAGTATCTTATGTATAATTTCCAAATTGCTGAATCAGACATCTGTTCATATATTAGTTTGGCCAGCTTGTATTTGTCATGGGAATTCAAGAATGTTGTCCTGAAAGAGAACTGTGTTTTTATTAGTCTCTCATTCCAAAATTTGTAAGTAAGATTTATTGTTTATAATGTACATTTGGTAGTATTGGGGCCTCACTGTTTCCAGTCTCACAAATTAAGTGTTGTTAATATTGATTTATTTACTGTAGATCTTCAACTTTGTCATTATTTGAGGCAGTTCAGGATAATATTTAGAAGTGCATGAAGTTACTTTTGTAAGGCTACAGTATATTGCAGGTTTAATCAGAATACTGTTGCTGTACATTTGCAAGTTTACAAAGACTGGTGGCTGAGCAGAAATAAATACATTTTAACAGATTAATGTTCCCACACAATGAACAAAATTAAGTTGTATGAGAGAAATGTTATATTATTCTTATCTGACATTACAAATATTGTACAAGTGTGATAACTGATATTTGAATAAAGTGAAATGTATTTAATAGAAAATATTGTGCATATACTGGACAGATGAATCCTAAGTGCATTTCTATGTTCAGTCTTGAGGATTTGTGGATGGATACTGAAGACATAGGATTTTCATGATATTTAACTTGATGACAAATAATATAAAGTCTGTGTTGATGAAAAAGAAAGTAGAGAGGTATGTTTAATTGAAATGGCTTTATTTGAATATAATGGTAGAAATTATATAAATTTCATTATATTACTATATATTGCCACAAAAACTTGTAACTCTTTGTAAGTTGTAATGATGATGTATTTTTATGTATTGGTATTTGTAATGGTGGTGTTTGTTAATACTGCTCTTCCTGGCTTTAAATATCAAAACTTTGAGAAGTTTGGAAAAATCTGAGAGAGTGTAAGTAAAAGAATCCTTGTATTACCTGTATGGTAATGTGATATTGTTTAAAAAAAGAAATACCTGCATAATATTGTGTCCTTATTCAGTGTGATATAGGTAATTTTAAAATTAAAAGTTAACAAAGTCCACTGTTACCAGTTAAAGATGCTCCAAACTGAAGCATGGCGAGTATAAGCCTGGCTCAAATCTTCGTGGTGACAGCTGGAACCGTGTGGCATACCTATTCACAGATTTTACTTTTTCTTTTTTATTGGTTTATTTGTTGACATGTCAGCTGCAAGAGATGATGTAACATCAGTGAGAGATGATAAGATAATTAAGATTAGTGAATGAGTAAGGATGTGAACAGATGTGGTGGTGATATCCATTTTAAGGTGACAACACAACATTTGCTGAAGAGCACAATGAAGACGCTTAAAAATCTGTTATGGTAACAGCTCTACTTGTGGGATTTGAACCAAAGACTTCCAGAGCATGAATCAGAAGTATTTAACCCCCGCGCCTTAACACTTGGTCAAGTTTTGTTTGGAAAAGGTGTGTCTTTCTGAAATGTAACAGAAAATAATATTTAAATGCTTGATACAAAATTTTAGGAATACCTTAGAGTTTTGTTTTCTTTGGCAGAAATGTGTCCATACATACAAAGGCAAATCGAAAAGTCTTTCCCCCAATTTTTTTCATCCAAAATTCTCAGCTGCTCCGCGGCACTGCGCCGCTGTCAGTCAGCGAAGATGGCTGGTATGCTCAACGCATCCACATCGTATGAGCAGCGAAGTGTTATTCGTTTTCTATGGAGCAAGGGACGAACGCCCATTGAGATCCATAGGGAAATGCAGCCAACGTATTGGGACAAATGTCTCGCTTTGAGAAGTGTGTGGTGGTGGTGTTGTGAGTTCACTAATGGCCAGGAAGACCTTAGTGACATTGAGCGGTCGGGCCACCCTCGCACCTCGCTCACACTGGACAACATTGCCCGCGTGGATGCAATGGTGAATGCAGATCGGCGTGTGCACCTGAAAGTCATTTCCAAGGAGCTTGGCAGTTCGCAAGGCAGCGTTTACGGTTCCTTGGGGTATCACAAGGTTTCATGTCAGTGGGTGCCTAAGCTAATGGATGATCTGAACAAGGCCAAGAGAATGATGACATCACTGTAACATTTGCAGTGTTACTCTGAGGAGGCTGAAAGGTTCCTGGATCTCATTGTCAGCAGAGATGAAACGTAGGTATTGCATTTCACTCCAGAATCCAAGCAGCAGAGCATGGTGTGGAAACATCCCAGTTCGCCTGTCACGAAGAAATTCCACAGAACGCCATGCATCGGGAAGTTGATGGTCACGGTCTTCTGGGATCGCCGAGGACCACTCCTGCTGGATTTCATGCCACGAGGTGCCACCATCAACGCAGACAGCTGCTGTGGCACACTCGCACGTCTGCATGCTGCCATCAAGAAAAAGCGCCCAGGGATTCTCATGGACAATGTGGTTCTCCTCCATGACAACGCCAGGTCTCATGTGGCAAACAGAACCACCACCCAACTGCAGTGATTCAGATGGGAGATTATGGAGCATGCACCGTATAGCCCAGACCTTGCCCCCAGTGATACCACGTGTTTGGTCCTCTGAAGAAGTTTCTGGCAAGCCAGAGGTTCATTTCCGACAGCAACCTGAAAACGCTGTCTGGCAGTGGTTCCGCGCTCAACCGGCCGAATTCTACAGCAGCAGCTTCTCCAAACTAGTGGTGCAATGTGACAGATGCCTGAATCGGGGTGGTGACTATGTGGAAGAACAGTCAAAGGTACTTAGAACAATGCCTGTATTTTGATTTCCTTGTATGTGTATTATTGTGGCTGAAGAAAAATAAGGGCAAAGACTTTTCAATTTGCCCTTGTATATAAATTTAGAGTGAGCACTGACACTCTGACATCATTGATTCTTCCTGTCTTACATAATTTCTATTCAGATTGTTTCCTTCAAAATTTTCTGGAAATTTGAAGGAACATGATTTATTTATTCACAGTAACAGCATTTAGCACTGCAATTTCAAATAACATATGAACTCTTTTAAATTTACTGTTACATTGAATTTGTTTTCTGGCAGGTGACATTGTGTAGTCAGGATAGACTATACATGATTACATTGTGCATTATATTTTATAAGGGGTGATGAAAGTGAAAGAAGATTTTTTTCCTAAAGTAAGCTGTTAACAAATTTGAGAATTAGTGCAATGAAACATGAAGTTCCTTTTCTCTATTGGCATGCAAGATATGTGATATTGATGCTTTTATTTCCCACCAAGAAGACACTCCATGGACTGGCATTTGGTGTTGGGATCATACTGATAACACCATGTACAATCAAAAAAATTTTCTTTAAGCTGTTCCATAATGTCCATGCACAAAGTGAGATGTCTTATTTTTTTCTTCCATCAATCTTCATTGCAGACTTTCTCATGCCAGGATCCTGTAATAAAATCCTTCTAATAGTCTTTTTGCTCAAAACAAACAACACACCGAGTTCATATGGAGAGGTTCAATCTCAAGAAATTAAATGATGTAGAAGGTAAAGAGCAGTATTGTGTTGAAGTCTCAAATAGGTTCACGGCTTTGGAAAACTTAGAAACTGTGATGGATATTAATAAAGCTTGGGAAACTGTTAGAGAGAATATAAAAATGCCTGCCAAAGAGAGTCTAGGTTATTATGAACCATAGAAGCATAAGCCTGGTTCAATGAAAGATGCTCAAAATTATTAGATCAAAGAAAGCAGGCAAAATTGCAATGGTTACAGGATCCAAGTGAGTTAAATGAGGATAATCTGAAAGATAAAATTGATGAGCTTGCAATGAACACTAAGAACAAGAACACTAGGGACCTGTATAGAGGAATAAATGACTTTAAGAGGGGTTACCAGCCTAGCAGTAACTTAGTGAAGGATGAGAATGGTGATCTGCTTGCAGATTCCCACAACATTTTGAATAGGTGGAGGAACTTCTCACAGTTATTGAATGTACATAGGGTCAGTGATGTTAGACAGACAGAAATCCATACAGCTGAGCCATTAGTACCTGATCCTAGCCCTTTTGAGGTTGAAAGTGCTATTGCAAAATTGAAACGGTATAAATCGCCAGGTAGTGGTCAAATTCCGGCAGAACTTATTCAAGCATGAGGTGAAATATTACGTTCTAAGATGCACAATCTAATTATTTCTATTTGGCATAAGGAAAAATTGCCTGATCAGTGGAAGGAGTCTATTATTGTACCAGTTCACAAGAAGGATGATAAAACTGAATAGTAATTATCGGAGGAAATCACTGCTATCAACTTCATACAAAATTTTATCCAATATTCTTCTCTCAAGGTTAAGTCCATATATATATGAAATTATTTGTGATCATCGGTGTGGGTTTCAACCTAACAGGTCAACTACAGATCAGATCTCTTTCATTCCTCAGATATTGGAGAAAAAATGGGAGTATGATGAGACAGTACATCAGCTATTCATAGACTTCAAGAAAGCCTATGATTCAGTTAGGAGTGAAGTATTGTACAATATTCTAATAGAGTTTGGCTTACCCATGAAACTAGTTAGGTTGATTAAAATGTGTTCAAACGAAACGTATAGTAAAGTCCATGTAGGTAAACAGTTGTCTGATAAATTTCCTATGCAGAATGGTCTAAAACAAGGAGATGCTTTATCACCACTCCTTTTCAACTTTGCTTTAGAATATGCCATTAGGAATGTCCATGGAAACCAGGTGGGACTGAAATTAAACGGGACACATCAGCTGTTGGCCTATGCTAATGATGTGAATCTACTGGGTGATAATGTAGATACCATGAAGAAAAACACACAAACTTTAATTGACACAAGTAAAGAGGTTGTTCTAGAAGTAAACACTGAGAAAACTACATATATGCTGCTGTTTCATCACCAAAATGCAGGGCAAAATCATGATATCAAGATAGGAAACAGATGTTTTGAAAATGTGGCACAATTCAAATATTTGGGAACAACAATAACAGACTGAAACCTGATTCAGGAGGAAATTAAGAGGAGATTGGACTCTGGTAATGCTTGCTACTATTCAGTTCAGAACCTTTTGTCTTCTTGTCTGCTATCCAAAAACATAAAAATTAGAATATACAAAACTATAATTTTGCCTGTATTTCTGTATGGGTATGAAACTTGGTCTCTGACATTAGGGAGGAACATAGACTGAGGGTGTTTCAGAAGAGGGTGTTGAGGAGAATGTTTGGACCGAAGTGAGATGAAGTGACAGGAGGTTGGATAAAACTGCATATTGAGGAGCTTCATAACTTGTACTCTTCTCCAAGTATAATTACAATGATCAAGTCAAGGAAGGTGAGGTGGGCAGGGCATGTAGCATGAATGGTGGAGACGAGGAAAGCATATAGGATATTGGTGGGAAAGCCAGAAGGAAAGAAACCAGTGGGAAGACCAAGGCATAGGTGGGTGGACAATATTAAAATGGATCTTAGAGAGATAGAATGGGATGGTATGGATTGGATTGATCTGACTTAGGATGGGGACCAGTGGAGGACTCTTGTGAACACAGTAATGAACCTTCGGATTCCATGAAATGCTGGGAAATTCTTGAGTAACTGCAGAATTGGCGGCTCCTCCGGAAGGGGTCCGCTCCATGAGTAAGTAAGTAAGGCTCTTTGCTCATATCAAGTTCATCGCTGTCATCCTGCAGGTTAACTGGCAGTCAGATCTCATAAGTTCCCTGATTTTCATGACATTTTCATCTTTTTGCTTCATAATGGGAGCACCTTGCCTTTCATCATCATTCACATCTTAAAAAATATACTCTTTCTCATAGAAGATTCATTATAAACTGTTTTTAACATCTCTGACATTTCATTTGGCGATTTCTGTAGTTTAACACAAATTTTCATATTCACTCTTTGTCACATCATACACTCCATTTTCACATCTGGACTAAGTTGGTGACAGAGTGATCTAATGAGGTACTGTTCAACAAATACTGAACATAGCCCATCCAGACTTTTCTTGTGAGCTCTGTCCTGTTGTGTCATCTAACGTTCCAAGTAACAGCATTGTCAGATTTACCCAGCATGAAATTAAACCTGAATCTCAAAACTTATTTGTCTAACTTTGTATTACATCAGTTATCCAGACTGAACAAGGTTATAGTTTAAGAACATCAGTCTTGTGGATTTGTAATCATGACCTGGCATAGCTCAGTCAGTGTAAGAGTGGGCTGTGGGCTGGATTGCTCTTTCAGGGACAAGAGATTTATCTCTGTTCAGAACAGTTCTATGGCCCACCCAGCCCCCTATCCAGTGGGTGCAGGGGATAAAACAGTCAAGGCATGAAACTGACCACCCACCTCCATGTTGTGCCAAGATCAAGAATGGTAGAGGTGTATCTCCACTCCTCCATACATCTTGGAGTGGTGTGTGATTAATTACCTTTACCTTACTGTTTTACTTTACTGAGTAAAATCTTGCAAGAATTGAATTAACATGGTTTGTGTTCAAGTAAATTAAGTGTACCCCAGAATTATAAAAGAAATGATTTGTTGTGTCAAGGAGCCGAGCAAAGTTTACCTCAAGAAGACCGCAGTTCAGTGAAATTGCAATCTGTGCAATTAAAAATATGTATATTTGATAATTAATGTATTTAATAATCATGTATGCTTTCAAGTAAAATGAGTGATGACTCTTATTGGCCATTGTGTTTAAGAAATGTGTTGGAACAGGATTCTTAATTTAACCTTAACTAATGCAGCAGAGTCCTTCTTGAGAAGCTAATGGTTATTCACAGAAGCACCTCACCAGTCCCTGTTCTGAGCCACATGTATCTGGTCCATATTGTTCCACCCTATTTCTTTAAGATCCATTTTGATATTATGGAATTATTGAAGGAAACATTATAATTCAATAACACAAGATACAATAATACAGTGCGTACAATCAAGTGCGCGCCGCGGCTGCAATTTGGCGTGAGTCATACCACCGCAGAACGGATGCAACTCCTCCCCGTGACTGCAGTGCTCCTACGCCAATGGTTGTATAATCGGAACCCGAGGTTGCATTAAACAGTCAGTCTTTGTCTTGCTGTGGAAGTGGAGTGGAATGTTTACAGCTGTCGACAGACGGTGGAAATGAA